TATTAAGTAGGCGCACAAATGCACCAGAACTCTAACACATTAATTTAAATTCTTTTTCAACACAAAAAAAGCTACTTCATTCAACATCAGCATACAAAGGTGGGTTGAGGCATATAGTTTCACAATAAGTTCTCACCACTCACTTCCCGAACACAATCACAGCTGTGGTGTTGCAACCTGTATTAATCAGTATTTTGTAAATGTTATTTTTAAAAAAAAGTTAAGACAGCTCCTTTACATGATGAATCAGTAAAGGAATAGAAAGTCATCATTGTGAAGTTTGACTCCAAAGAGTTTGAGTAAAAATCCATGAAATTTAAAACAAAAATAAAACAGCAATGAACTCCACTTAAAAAAGAAATTTTGACTTGTTCCCTATATTTCATTGTTCTAGCCCCGTCCCCGATCTGAGATTTTTGTGCCTAGAAATTGTTCCATATAAATGGGGAGAAAACAGCTAGTGAACCTACTGTGACTGTTCATTTCTCTCTCCTGTAGGATAATGTTATACCACCTATTATTTTAATAAAATACAAAGTTACTCATGACTGCGGGGGAAAAAAGAAACAACAAAACCACCATATATAACAGCAAGTAGCGTTGGGCTCAATTCATAGGGGATTGTAATATCCCTGCATTTAAGGAAAGGAGGAGATGGAGTATTGAAAAGCATTCTGCAAGCAGAAAGATAGAATTACTATTAATAGGCTTTTTAATAAGGCTCAGGAAGTTGTAGTTAATATTTAAAAACAAAATTCAATCCACAAACTAGCTTAGCAAGATAGTACCAGAAGACTGAGGGGAAAAAAAGAATCTGTGAGAAAATAAACTGATTTTTCACTGAATATACACAAACATATAAGAAGTATATTCTGATTTGATTCAAAGTAAATGCAGGAAACATTCCTCACATGTATTTGAGCTGCTTTGATACAAAGTAGTTTAGTATCTGAATGTCAGAAGAAAAAGAATTGAATTAACATAAACAAATGAACAATTACATGTCAAAACTGTTAGTTACCTGTTTAATTGTTTTCTTAGTTTGGATAAGATATATACATTTGCATACCTTTACACTTGCAGTTAAACACAGTTTACTGAAAATTTGTCATTCATTGCAATAATGAAATACTTTTCTATCTCCTATGTTTTATATTCCAGATTGTAATGATATAAGAAAACAAAAATTTGCTGCTCTGAAAGCAGCCCTTTTCTCAGGCATCTCAAAGGAATGTTCCTTTGCAATGCTTAATATTGTTGTTATTTTCATTATCCTGTGGAAGAAACAGGTTCTAGAACGGCTCAGTCACTGGAGAAACGCTGTTGTCACAGTAAATTTTTGAGAAGTCCATAGAAAGAGCTTTGGAGTAAATCTTCCAAAAATAAACTCTCTTGGACTTAGAAATCAAGTTCAAAATAGTTCAGACAAACTTTGGATCAACATTTTAAGTTCTGGATGCTTATCTAAATTAAGTATTAATTCTGAAACTTTTGGGGTTCTCTTCTAATGTGAAACTTCTGGTTTGCTACCAAGATTTTTGATTAAAAGTACTATTAAATTCTGTAAGATTAGGGAAGTGGTTGATTCAACATCCCTGGAGGTATTTAAAAGATGTGTAGATGAGGCACTTAGGGACATGGTTTAGTGGGCATGGTGGTGTTGGGTTGACGGTTGGACTCGATGATCTTAGAGGTCTCTTCCAACCTTAATGATTCTATGATTCTATGATTCTAAGATAAAGTACCAGCAAATTTACTGCACACAGTACGATGAAATAAGAAATTGATACATAATGATTGGTTTTGGGAAATGTAATTGATGTATTGTGCCCAGTGATTTGAAGTTTGCTACGTCAGCTGTATTCCTTCCAAGAAAAGGTACAGCCTACAATACTGCTTCAGGAAGGGTTAAGTGGAGGATTAAACTAATTGGAGTATATGTGATGAATTTGTATCAGTTCCTCTTCACAAGTAATCTCAGACTGCATTTCAGCCTCATTAAAACATATTGCTTATGTGTCACTGAAAAAGGAATGA